AAAAAAAAAAAAAAAAAAAAGGTGGATTGAAGTTCAGCAGAAGTTTGTGAATTGCTGCATTTGTCTCCTCCCAGCAGGAAAGGATGCAGTGCTTTAAACCATAACGATACTTTTGGCGATCAAAAAATTCTATTAAAGGAATGAGAATCTCATGAACTAGGAACACCTATTGAGGAATTAGTCTACTGGCTGTCTCTTCTGCTTTTCAGCAACACCAAGAATAGCTTTAGTGAATCAATGGCACCTTAGAAACTGCACTTGATGCTTTAATGGTATTGCCAAGTAACAGTCATTGCATTATTTTGTTGGACTCAACACATGATGATTTTAAAAGCAATGGGTCAGATTGTCAGTTGGTGTACACTGACCTTGTGTTTTTGCAGTCCATGGAGCTCAGTCCATTTATACTTCCCAAGAACCAGGCTTGACATTGCCACCCAATTTACAGCAAAGGAATTTTAATTTAATTTAACTTAAAATACAAAATACTTTCAGGGAAAGGAATGATGGACACATTTCAAACCATAATTTTTTTGGGAAGGGCGGATCAATTCTCACGAGAATGCAAGGAACTGTTGTTTAAATTTAAGGAGATGTGATTTGCGTGTAAATCATCAACACGCAGTAGAAAAAAATATATAAAAAAAGTATCTAACTTCCTATATGGAAGAGATATATTGCCCCAGAGTTCTGAGGTTATTGTAAAAGCTTATGTAAAATATGAAAGTGTGTACATTCTATGTACATCTAATACTTGTTATAAAATGTCCATGTTTCAGATGCCTGAAGCTCTAACTTATTTCTGCTAGACTTTGTTTGGTTTTCATATGTAGGTGACCACTGTAATACGTGTTCTTTTCTCAGTTTACTTTTTAACCTAACTGAAAAAGATAATACAAAACTGCTGCCCCTTTTTATCCCATGATAACATAAAAATGCAAAGCTGGTGGTAGCAAATGATGACCTCCTGAGCTCCCTTCCAACCCTACTTTTCTATGATTCTATGTCTTGTATGAAAGAAATATTACAGAGACACAGAAGTATCCCTTTGCATAGCCCCAAAAGGGGTGCTAAACCTGTTAACAAAAAACAGGTTTAAAAGATGAATTGCTTCATAAGTGCCAAATCACCAGAAGAATATGAGAACTGCCTTTGAAACCATGGCTACTCTCATGTCACTGTGAACTCTAGAAAAACCAAATAGCTAAGTGGCTAGTGACCCTGGGGAACCATAATTTTCTTCATGTCATAACCCTCCATGTACCAATCTTAAGTCTTCAAGCAGATATGTTCTTCTCTAATGAGCTTCCTGTAGAAGACACCTGCCATGTTCCTGCAGGAAGCCAGACATGCTATTGGATCACTATGAAAATCAAATAAGTGTGGAAAGCCTGGCTTCTGCCTCTTCACAGAATGCCATCAATTAACCCACGTTTGAAATTTCTGTCACTAAAAATAAATGGACTTTGCTTCCTATTAACTACTTCTGAGAATCTAAGTATTCCAAAAATGTGAGAATGTTTACTGTCTCAGACCAGGATGTAATGGGACTAGCTAGACTGCTAGCATTTTATCTTATCATGCTTGCCGCGATATGATAAGGTGCTAACTTTGGGGGATTCATTCTACACTCCTTACCCGAGCGAAACTGCCACTGAAGTGAAGCTAATAGGGAGTGCAGAACAGAACCCTTTGTACCACTGTATTGAGAAATGCTGCTGTTTACAGTTAGTGGTGCATTATTTCTTTCAAGTAGCTGGTGTCTCAGTGAAAATGTCTAGGTAAGCGAAAACATATGTACATGCCCCCTCACCTCTAATTTAAAAAAATAAATAACTTAGCTGGTTTAACTGGTTATTAGAGGAATTTCATCTTTAAAGGAATGGGAAAGTCATTTTTTGCTTTTCCATCTTCTCCTCTAATGATTTACTGTACTGCTGAAGAAAATGTCTTTCAGAGTTCTGTAACATGCATCGGGTAACTTGGAGGAGGATGTGGTGGTACTTTAATATTGAGGCGCCTAATATGACAGCCATGACAGAGCAGATGGCCCTCTAAAGGATAGCAACGATGGCCTTCTTCATCATTGAGCTGGAGACCGCAGTCCTAAAAGAAACATATTTTCACAGATTAGTTAGTAATTGCTTTACTATTCCTTCTTGCCAGCCTCTGAGGTTGCCCTGGCGCACACACTCACTCTCTGATATGCTGACTATAATTATCTTGTGAGTACTTTGTAGATTAATGTTGACTATAATCTATTAAGCAAAGAATGATGTCACCAAAATCTACAGGAACATGGAATTTAGACACGGGAATCACAGTACGTGCGGTTGGTTCTAGTACTGGTTTTCTTTGGTCTGTGCTATCCTGGCTCCTGCACTGATCCAGCTATGACCAGGATCATGCAAGGATGGACACCCCAATCACAGGGCTACACAACACAGGCTGACATCTCTAAATGCGGAGTTAGTGAGATCAAATGAAACAAGCTGGACATGGAGAGATGCAGAGCAAGCTAGCAGAAGTGCAGAAATGGATGGAGAATCAGAGAACAGCTAAGTAGAGAGAAAACATTGTTCAGGTGAGAAATGAGCCAGAAGGTTTGAACTTTGGGGCAGAATTGAACCTCCTCTAAGACTGGGGGTCAAACATGGCGCTCTCTGTAGGATGTATCTAAATCAGATGGTGCAAGTCACAAAGGTCAAGGGGCTACAAGTCCAGTGTTTCAGTTCAGGCCTACCACCAGGTAGAAGTGCCTAATATGTGCACTACATATTAGGTTACTCTTGCATTGGATCAATATGTTTTCTGAATTTTTAAAGGGGGCAAGTTTCCCTGCTGAAATTATAAGGGTCTTGGCATGGAATGGATGCAGTAAGGAAGGAAAGGAAGAAACCTGTGACTTATTTATATACCCAACTAGGGAGCTAAAATACCTTGGTGGAATGGTGCACAATTACGGCAAGCAATGGTATATCTTAGCAGTGGACAACAGCAGAGTAGGGAGGTGGGGAGTGGGGGAGAAGAAAGCAACCCAAGCAAAACAAGTATCCCATTTGGTGATGATATTGTGTGCTGCAGCACAGTTCACAACACTCTCTGCACTCTCCAAGCCATTTGAGGCTAGGATTTTATGTTTGGATTCCTGAATTTTGAAAGAGTGGGGCATAATTAAAAGTTCTTTCCAGTGGCAAATCCTGACAGAGAAGCTGGAGACACTGAGGTTCATGTGCTTAGTATGGAATACAAGTTGAACAGTTTGGGCAAACAGGCAGTGTTGAGTGCTTCTAAGCCAGGTGTCTTAAACATCAAAGAGAAAACAAAATTTGATCAGATTTGAGGTGTGATCCATTTCTTCACTTCCAGAGTTTTAAAATGAAATTCTCAGCTTCCTATAGGAGAGAATGATGAATTAAATATGCTTTCAGGCAGAGCAGAAATACTTCATAAATTGCTTTATGGGTCTAATCAGGCATTTTAGACCAGTCAGCTATATTCTTATTCAACTTTGTGCTCAATCATTTAAAAGATTGTAGAAATATAAAAGAACAATTTGGCCAAGGGGGATCATTGTTGGGAATGTGTTTTTTTTTTTCCCCCCCCAGATGTTGATAAATAATTGAGGAAATGCAGGGGTAACCAATGATTATACAGCAAGGGACTTGAGATTTTACGATGAGTTATTAGCTTTTGTCACAGTTCACAAATTAATCTCACAAATTCTTTCCCATTTAATTAGGTAGGAAATTCCAGCCAGCTCAACCATGGAGCCCTTTCTGAAATCTGCTTCCTTCCTTGTAAGACAATCTCCATAGCTGGAATATGGCAGCTCTTCTTCACCTTGTGAACTCCCATACGTTAAGAATATTCCCCACAGGATGTAAGCACTACACCATAAGCCATCAGCCTCAAGAGCTTTTGGTCATTAGACTCATGATGACAGACTAGATAGTAGGCATATAAAAATGGAGGGAGTTGAGAATGAGATTAACCAGCAGTCGGATCTGAGAGTTTGGGCTCAGGCCTCTTAATTGCTAACCCAACACAATATCAAATTGCAGTTGTGCCAGCAGGCATGCTGCCTACCAACAGCCCTGTTTAGCCAGGCCTTTCTTAGGACTTTTAACAATTTGGGATTAACTAAAGATATGCCAAATGCTAACAGCTTGCCTTGCCTCTCACCCATTCCATCCTCAGTTTGCTGTGCAGTAACAGAGCCTGTCCTCCTACTTCATTTCAGTTTTTAAAAGGGCCCCCACTGATTTACCAACTGCTGTTGGGTTTGCAGTACAGGCACTCTTACATTCCCTTTACATGTCATTATGTTTGTCCACTGAGCTGGAAGGCTTTTCAAATCAGCTAGTGAGCTTGGGTGCCCAACATGAAACACCTGTGAAAGGTTTTTACAAGCACCTGTCCAGCACTTTCCAGAGATTGGGGACCTTGTTAAGATCTGAACTCTGGAAACCAAAACCAGAGGAATCCAAACTTATTGGTGACCTGTGGAAAGCCTGGTGGCTACAAGGACTTGAATTTAGCATCCCCTTTTTAACAGGCTATCAATCCAGCCTGTAAAACTGAGCTCCCACAAGCTTGTGGGAGTATGTGCATACATCAGGTAGATGTCTATTGACTCTACCTCTGCAGTTTGTGGTTCTGAGGAGAAGCAGAGGCAGACTTGCCTCAAATTGGAAGGAAGCTGGAGCTCAGTCATGAGAACTGAAAATAAACCCTCATTAGGACATTCTCAGATACAGTCCAATAGGCAGAGAAGCAGGGGGACGGAGCTGCCATGTGAGCAGTCTGCACAAAGCAGTAGATGGGTGACTATGTTAACAAGCAGGATATAGGAGCCCTTCTAAGGGACTCCCTCAGTCAGTCCTCGTAGAGCTACTCTACTTTGTGCAGCAGACTTAAATACGAATTAAGCCAGAGGGTGAATGACTCAGTATACTGGTGGTGAGAAAGGTGAGAGATCTTGGTTTAGATCCTTGCTCTGTGCTGGCAGGTGGAAGGCCCACCATCACCACCTCTCCGTGGTTGGCTAATCCAAACCCCAAACGTTCATGGCACTCCAACTTAGTGAGCGTTCCTCAGTGTTACACGGGAGCAAGAGATAATTTGGCCTGGGTCCAGGTAAGTAATCTAACTATAGGTAAGGAAATACCAGTGGAGCTGTAGCATGGGGGCAGTGCAGAGGTGCTGCAGGCTTACCTCACAGTGATAACATTCCACATGGTAATCTTTGTCCATCGATACCACTCGAATGGTTTCCTCGGAGCCCTGATTGAGAAAATGGAGAAAAAAATGAGACTGGACTTTAGGGGGCATTTTGTGCATTTTCTATTTGGAACATTTCCTACAGTCCCAGAAAGCCCTATTTTCACTACTGTGAGACTGTGTATTCCTTGGCTTTGTTCTTTCTTGAAGACAGCCAGGGCCTCTGATCACTTAAAAGCCTTAAATGTTCCCTACTGGTACAATACCAGACCTCTTTCATGCACTGCACCAGGGAGATCCCTATTTTGAGGATTTAGAAGAGGCTTCAGTGCACATGTGCAGCTGCCTCTGTAATCCTTGGCAGAGAGCTCCATGTCTAACCCTCAGAATTTGGCCCATATCATGGAGGCTTTAAAGGTTCATTTTTTCCAAGGGAATCCAACACGTAAAATAACTGCCAATAAGACACTTAGCTATCTGTTAATCTACTTGTTCTTCACAGATACTTTGGCTTAATTTTCCACTTGCACTAAGCCAGGAACTGTGCAGCTACTTTGCGTGGGCAGATGTGCACTCCTAAATGAAGCTTGCTTAAACATTTGGACCTGCCTCTTTTGTGTAATTCCAGGTGTGGTTTGAACATCAGATGTGATGCAGGCTGTACTGAAAGGACCTACAGGGCAAGCCATCACCTGCATGGCTAGACTTGAACTAACACAGATGCCTTCCATGGGAAAGCACCAGTAATCTGCCTAGAGAAAGGTTGCTGCAACTCTTGCTAACTGTCAGCTGAGTCAGAGGTAGAACAGCCAAGGCTTTTAAAGGAAGGGCAGCTGAGTAATAAGCAAAATACAGGGAAAAAGGAGAGGACACGTACTCAGGATGTGCTATCCCGTCACTTCCACGTCACTAGAAGGAGGGTCTGAGTTCGTGTCACGTGCAGACAAGAACAAGGAGGTGTGTGTACGATAGATCTTCTTAATGTACAGATGTCTTATTGTGCCTGAGCATAACTTCCAGCCAAGATACACATACAACATATCAGATTCCAAAATATTCCACTGTTTAGTCAGAGAGAATTTAAAGTCTCAACTTTGGCTTTGCTCTCTTCCATCTTGTTACTGGCTGCTCACTGTTGGCCTCATTCACAGATTGGGGTACTTTCTCTGGAAATCAATGGGGCCATGCTCATAGCAAGGCACTCACTACTCAGTAAGGGTATGGTGGGAGAACACAACCCTATGTAGTTACAAAGGATGGAACTGAAACACCAACTCTTTCCAAAAAGCTGAGCTTGCTAAGTGCTCAGTGCACCCAGTTCCCTCTTTTCCATGGGAGTGGGGGATGCCCTGCAGAACCCGAGGGCATCTGGCAGGATTGGGCTGCAAGGCACCATCTGACTGGCTCTGCCCTAGCTAGTACCCAAGCCCTTCTGCAGTGTGGGTTCCCCAACAGCTGATGCCAAAAATAGAAGATACAATAAATAATGGAAGGTCTTCGATGAATGGGAACTGAAGAGAACTAATACCTGTTCTTGGGCCTCCATCCAGGGCTTTGAATTAAATCAGATCTTTAGCAGCAATAGCTAATACCTGTGAAGCACCAGACAGACGCACAGTGTTATGCTGCATGAGCCCTGTGCTTATTTCTGCCTCTGGAAACATCTGGGAATTCAGTTACTGGAAGTTTTGTTTTTGAGGCATTACTGATTTTGGAGGTGGGATGGAGCCTGCTGCTGTAGCTGAGGTGTCTAAATCCTCCTGTCTGAGCAAACCTTTACAAGATGCTCCTATGGAAACCCCCATGTTATCCAACAAGCTGTTTGTGCAGAGAGCGCATGCGCAGTCCGTACCTGTGCTGGTAGAATCGGCTGATTACAGGAAGCACATTTTGGTGCAAAAACCCTAAGATTAAAGAAGAAAAAGCATTCAAATCATATTTAAAAATATGGGAATACAAGAGCACTTTAACTACAGCCCTTCTATAGAGATATTGCTTCAGGTTGCAAAATCCAGGGATCCATTTCGGGAAGTTTGAAGAGGAGACTGATTCAAACATACTTGTGGCCTTTCTGTCTCAGGTCCCTTACACTAAGGTATTGTTCAACAGGCATCTTTTCCCTTCCCCCAGTGACCACTTCTGCCTGAAGTTTGTACACATGGACTTCATGAGCCTGCGTTAGAGAAGTGACTCATAACCTGGAGGTTCTGACCCACCAGGTGTCAGACCAGCATGAGACTTGTCCTTCCCATGTTGCTAAAATGGAAGGAGGGTAGGGTCTAACAAACAGAGAAGGGAATTTCATGGGACTCCTAGTACAGAACAAGTGGGAATCAGTAAGACACTGACTACAGGGCTAAGTGTATTCTGGCCTTCCTTCACCTTAGGACTTGGAACAACTTTCCCTAGCAACTATGGCTCTAACAGTTACAAACCATACTCCCACCCCCAAAATCTGTATTGATGCACCCCTAACCCTAACCATG